AAGCTATAGCTTTATAACGATGATATATATAATTTACCGTTAACTTTTTTCGAAAAGCACAATTAATTAGCTTCAAACCCATATAAAAACTATTGTCATTCACATAGTACACATGGGCAGGAAAGATTTTTGAAAAAAAAACTTTTCATATGTTTTACTAGTAAAATAATACGAAATCCGGTAATTTATTGTAGGGTAGTGTATAATCCCACGGTAGAGAATTGCAGCTCACTCGAGGACGAATTAATTATCTAGGATTACTGGATTAGTGTCGCTCATCGACATATTGCGCCGTAAGTGCGAAGCCTAGTGTCTAAACTGTACGTTTGATTTAACTATTAGTAGGAAAAGCCACACTCCGTTTGCTTCGACAGGCAGGTTTAACATTTAATTAGCATACATTTATAATGGTTTACCTAATGATAATTGAAGTATAATTATTTATTTTATTTTTACTGTATCTTATCACTTACTATTGAATAAACTTTGATCAAATGCTAAGGAGACGCAAGGTAACATGAGGCCTTGTGTCTTGTGAACTGTTAAAGCAAAAGAGTTTGGCAATGGAAATTGTGTTGTCGAACAGCATTATAGAAATATACCGTTTGTCTAGTTATCTACTTGTATATATAACCCCAGAAACACAGAATGTAACTTGATCATTTTTTCGATCATCATCTATTCTGTTACTATTCCAATCGTTTCATTACAATTACTCGTGCGCCTTATTGTAATCTAACTATAGGTGGCAAGGTCGTTTTTGCTTTAAATTCTGCTTGCAAAGTTATGTCTCGGTACGAATCCATTCACGAAAATTAGTAGCTTCAGCGATTGAACAACAGCATACTTGATAATTGAGGAATGGCAACAATTGTATTATAATTTGGTTAATGTGTAAATGTCGTTCTGGTAAGTGATATGGTTGAAATTGAGTGTCTTGACTTTGTATTGAGACATACAGGTAAAGTTGAGCGAAAGGGTATTTGTAAGGATTATTTATGGCAAACATGTATGTTAACTAAAAAAGCCTGAAAATAAATTTTTATGCTTTCTATGAATGTTTTCAAATACTACAGTATATACAGCTGTTTCTTAGCAAGTGTAAAGCCTGTTATTAACGTGTTGCTGGTTAGTAAATATGTAAATAGAATTTTTGTTATAGTGGCACACAGACAACACTTTTGGCATATTTAGCAATAATATATCGACGTACCATTAGTTCTGATACAGATTGAATTTGCTTTGTCCAAATTAGTTGCCAAAATAAGTTAAGCAATCATTTGGTCGAAGAAATGCTTGCTATGCTTGTGTTAATGTAACATGAGAAATTGCTTGATGATCTACTTCGACAGATTTTCCTATTTCAGTATTTATTTAAATGGTTTAGTTAAGAAAGAGTATTACATAGAGAAACCGCCAACTAATATGAAAAAAATGTCCGACTTATCGAGTTTCGGACTTATCGAATGTCTGTCCGACTTCTCGAGTTTACCTATTTATATAAAAATATGCGGTTATGTAATTTTTATAGTAATACAATAAGACTACTATAGGCAAATTATCGTACAACTTCTTTGTTATTCGAGTCATGTGAGTTTACTTCGGTAATATTTTCAGATTATTAAGTGGGTACTCGCTCGCGCAGTTTGAAAATCCTTTGTTCTACGTACGTCCGATTTCCAGAATGGGTTAACATTATTTCGACAAATATGGTTCGGTAGTGTAACCCGCTCATTTGTATGTAATGGATTCTAATCTCGGTTTCCAACATTGTATCTTCCTCTTTTTTAACAAACCATAACTATTTACCGTTGCCATCATAAAGACATTCGTTTGCGTTGTACCCTGTACCTCATCCGACTTCCCGAAATACTTTGCGTCATATCGAAGGGATATCTTCTCCTGATCATGCTTCCGAACATTGATTTTAGAAACGTCACTAAACTGGACTATTGTTGCTCCAAATGTAATGCTACTATAGTAGCCAGAAATCGTTTATGCAAGCACTGTTTTCGGGAAATTGTTGGTAATGCAGCGGAAACCTGGACAAGTATGAGACCCCATATCGATGAGCTCATTGTCGAATCACAAAGAGATGCCGATTATGTCTATCAGTTTATTGAATGGATTCCATACGAGAATTTTACGAATGTCGAGTTTGTAGCCCAGGGCGGGTTTTCTAGGGTCTACAAAGCTATTTGGAAGCAAGGATATTGGGAATGTTTGGCAGACCCCGATGATACTACAAGATATTTCGAGCGTAGAGGATCTATGGAAGTAGCTCTAAAAGAACAGAAGCATTCCGTAACACTTTCAGCAGAGTATTTGCAAGAGGCAAGCATAAAACTTTTATTTTTAAGCAAAAACATCAACGTTAAACACTTTTTTAATCAATTCTTTCGAACAGGTTGCGGTTCATCTAAAGTTGGAACACTGTCTTTTACGTGAAAAACAATTATATGGACTTTCCGTGAATCCCGAGACTGGTCAGATCATATTGGTGATGCGGTATATGTCAGGCGGTGACTTGAGACAGCTTTTGATAAAGAATCCTGTAGAATTCACGTGGAGTAAAAGAATAGAGCAGCTGTCAACTTTGATGAGGGATTTACAAACTATTCATAAAGCAGGTTTTATCCATAAAGATTTTCACAGCGGAAATGTGTTGTGGACTTTTGATGACTGTCAGGACTATGAATTGTGCATTTCTGATTTCGGCTTGTCTGGTCCCGCCAATAACGAAGATGAGAAAATTACTGGATTTGTCCCGTATATGGCACCGGAACTACTCCTAGGTCGACCAAAATCAACAGCGTCTGACACATATGCTTTTGGTATAGTCATGTGGGAATTTTCTTCAGGAGAACCAGCCTTTTTTGAGTGTAGGGACGATGACCTAGCATTCTTTAAACAGAAGATTACTCAAGATCATTTGAGACCTGTTCCTATAGAAGGCACACCAGATTGCTATGTGAATTTAATGACACGTTGCTGGGCTCCTGATCCCAAAGACAGACCAACAGCTGAAGAAGTGTTTCATACGTTATTATTATTCATAGAGATGAATGACATAACATCACCTAAATTTAACGATACGGTTTTTGAGCAATTTGAAATGGCGGAGGAACTGAGATTACAAAAAGGATCTTGTGAAAGATTTCATCATGAAATATATACTAGTGTTATTATCGACGATGACGAATTTGTCCCGACAGTAGAACTTTGATATAATAATGTTGCGCATTATTGACTCTATCACATATTTGAGCCCGAGTATAGCAAGTATACAATCTTTCTCTCTGATACCTTAGCTTTTCTCCTATGCCAAGTTGCTTGGCCCGTTCCTTTATGCGCCTTAAAAGTTATAGTCCACTTTAAATGAAAATATTGTACAGCGGTACATTTGAGAATTTTTTTATTCTCAAGAGCTTTCTAAATCCAGCTTGTGCAAATTTTAGAAATGCTGGATTAAGTTATACCACAGTTGCATGTATAGTAGTAATAGTTGATATTTATTATGCCAGGTTTTACTTCTTACATAAATAGATATCCCTTGACTGTCTATTGTGGTTTGAATTGACACGGATAATTGTGTGTTGTGTGAAGATTTCCGCGGTTTGACAGAGTGCGAGGTAGAAAAAGACGGTTTCTTGGAATAGCTGACAGCATGTCAAATGTTTGTACGGCCATGCCGTCATTCATATAACCAAATCTGGCGTATATAATTTAGGAGTTTAACCCATACAGGCAAGCAGATTCCAGTAGTTGAAATTTTCACGCGATCATTTTGAATGCATTATTGATATTTCCGACTTTATATAGGAATAAAAGAAAAATAACTTTGGAAATTCTAAGATATCTAGAACGTTTGTAAGACGATTAGTCGATCTTTCATGTGATGTAGAAACGTTGCCAGAAACTCCCCAGGTCGGCTCGGTTTTGTTGGTTTTTTTTTGTCGATAATATTATTCCATTTTTTGATTGTTGCGAGATAGATATCCCACTTTACAAGTGCACGTACTAAATAAAGTAGCAAAATTTCGGCGACGGCCCATATTCATGTCATCAAAATATTTATCTGCTACGTATTGGCGAAGAATACAATCAAACCGACCCAACTCACGCATTAAACTGCAGTTAACGGCTCTACTTCTATCGATGTAGTTACGTTGGGGAATTTCTACACTAACGTAAACGTGTTATAAAATAATTGATTGGTCAATAGAGGAATCGCCGGAGAATAGATGCTTACATTCTCATAACATCTGTGTTTATTTGAGTATCAATGAGCTACTCTATTAATGCCGTGTTATAATTAAGATAATGTCTATTGGAAAACTACAGCTGCTTTTACACATTTCGAATGTTTTCACTAAAAAAAAAGAGTATACTCTTCTGCAGCAGTGGATCAGAAATATGTAGCATTTGGACCATGAGTTCATGTTCGGCTTCGGCATTACGGAATATACCTCCACCATGTCAAACAAAACTACACAATAAAAATACACTATAAGAGGCACTCTAGACTATAATCAATTAAGCATGGAAAAAAAGGTCCAATATATTTCCACAATAACCAATCCAAATTCACTGTCCACCGTAAAGACAATGACTGTGTAGAAGAGTATCACTTCTAGTTATAACGGCCCTTGACAGTCATTTATTTTTATAGCATCACTTGTTTGAGTCTATGCATAATATAACTAATTGCAGGAACAATCGATTGCTAAATGATGTAAATAGCTCGCGATTTTGTTATCTCTAGTCGGGATGCAAGTTGATTTATAATACATTCAAAAAGCGCAAAAAATTACACTATGATCTGTGATGGTACCGCTTCTTGGCTTGAAACAACGTCTAATTCAGAAAATTGTGTTTCTTCTTTAATAGGTTAAATTTGTCATCCCGTAATCAATTTCTAGTGCATTGTACCAGCACCATATGCGGTCTATCCCTTAAATGACTTGCAGATTATTAATAAGTATTTACACATCACTAAAAAAGGATTGCTTTGCTAGTTATTGATATTGCTTAGCTAATATTTGAAAATAAACTGTTCACTCTCGAGTTTCATACAACTTAGTCTAGAACAGAGGCGTGTCAGTTGGAAACCTGGCTTGGTCCAGAACCGAGTCAGTCTCGATCAATGTGAAGGCCCTACTTTTTGACAATATCGTGAACCACGCTCGTCTTGTGCTATCTACTCAAAGCGGGATCATTTGTTGAAGAACTGACGTCTTGAACGTATGGTATCAAATGACTTGATATTACGTAATTTTAGAATTATATGCTAAAATTACGACTAATACTTGTAACTTTAAGGTTAGACGTTTTAGATTGATAAATTAGAATTACGTGCTTGCTAAATACGTATTCTGGGTGGTATTAACGTGAAGAATGCATGTACGGCATTATTGAAATACCGCAAAAATAACAATACTACAGATAACAAGTAGAAAATACGAGATTCAAGTATAGACAACAGAATGCGAAAGCGTTCCATACACTCAATCATGGTACATTGTTATTTTCTGTCTATTATGTCTTCGTCTTTGGATGATGGCGCAATAAATATCATATGAAGGTCTTTTTTTCAAATCGCACAACACATTTGTTTGCATTAATATTTGTATATACCCCGCTTTTTCAGGTTAACACTTTTTTGGTTGTATCACTAAGCAACTGATGCTCTGGTTAATTAGCCGCTTAAGTCTATCGTATAATATTTGTTATCCTACGTTTCAATTTATATCCGTCCATGGTCATTGTACTTGAATCAAGTTTCATTATTAATATCGCTTTACAAATAAAACTTTCCTTAGTCAAGGGCAGGCTTATCAAGAATGGTTAATGGGGGGGCTGAGCAGGATAAAGTATTACGCTGATACCAGTTCACCTGCTGCAGATCATTAACACGGTCACGGGGACAAATATGTATTAATTTAGTAAAACGGGTAGATAATCTATTGGTGGTGCTTATCAATCACACAGACTGGGTACTACATCGCTTTGTAATAAAAGACAAGGATTCGGCTAGTGGATGCAAAGAAAGACGCACTAGTGATATTACATTATTATTATAATGACATCTCTCGAACGGACAGTCCCTACATAATTAATTGTCTTGCTTAGTTAGGTGTTCTTACTGAAGCTGTTACGCACCCATCATTTGTTTCTCGTCAGTGCGTTATATATATAGATCGTGTCACAGTCAACGTCGGTCGTAAAACTCCGAACTGCATAATTCAGTCATTAACCCCTTTTCGGAGTTGGAATAATGAGAATAATGAATGGCTTAGTATTATATGGATTAATAAAGACCATTATATATACACCAATGCAAACGGAAAAACAGGTCCTTTATAAAACCGCAGTGAAACGCACCTTATTGCGCTCATATTGTATCATTGGTGAATTAGGGAATAAGGACACGAGAACCTATCATAGAAAATTCATAAAAAAAAAACAAAACCTCTCTTCATTCCAACTCTCAACCGTGCATTCCTAACTGTTGCTTAAGAGCACCATTCAAGTTCACACCCTAACACCCATTACCAACCTGTATAATTCGAATTCATCTATCAGACACAAATATGCAAACAGTACCGCTAGCAAATACGTCGGGGAAGATTAAAGACGACTATCCGACTGATATAACCGATTATGTAAGTACTGGAAATACATGGAGAATGTTGTGATATAACAGAAGGCCATGGCTAAAAAATTCGATCGGGTGCGATTTACTTGCACGTAGATTCATACTGTTATGTCGGCCTTGGTTTCATTCTCATAATCACTCGCTAAACTTTGTCAATGCCTAAATCTTCTCTCATCATCGTTTTATGCACCTTATTCAAGCTTGATTTAGAAGACTATACATCACGTATCCATTCGCTAAACATCCCATACGAAACCTATCAACGCAAGAGAGCGCCGAGAATAGTTCTTGTTCTGGGTATCATGTTATTCGGAGGAATCATCGATTGTATCGTTATGACACAGACAGAAGGATGGGAACGATATGCTGTCCTGGGAATATCGATAATAGTGATACTTGTATCAATAATCATGCTTCTCAACTACATAGGGCGGGCTAAAGATGAGGTGAGAGCATCGTAAGATTAGTAAGAGAGTCTGAGGAGATGGAAAATGTGTTAATCGTATCATGGTTAAACGGCATTTGCAGGTGGCAAACGAGCGAGAGAGACTCATCAATGGATTCAATAGTGAAGACAACAGTCGGGATATCACTTGGCTGTTTGTCAAAGCATCAAGAACAATGTGCATTCGGCAACCCGTGAGTATACAATATACGTCTACATTATCCATCATCAATCAACAAACAGACCAACAATTAACCCTCGGTAAACTCTTCATCAGGATCATCTAGTAATCGAGCTCGGCCATCCGCCCGCTTCACGATCTCTTCCACTCGTGAACAAGATATTAATAGAAAAGGGTGAAGGCGAACAATATTCTCGACCATATTCTCCACCAGCTGTTCACAAGATACCTGGTAAAACTCGAGATATTGTTGGATTAGTGTAAGTTGATTATATAGAGATTTTGGGGAATCACTGGGGAATCACTGGGGAACACTGGGGAATCACGGAAGAATAGTTAGGATGATGCTTGTGAATGCTTTGGGAATCATTCGCGGGCAACTTTTGTAAATTGTCCCATTTTAGGCTTGTAAATTAATTGTAAACTAAAAAGTAAAACTGTTGAACTTTTGAAATCCGCAAGTGATATAAAGTAGTAAATGTAATGATGTCTAGCTGTAAATGTGTCATTGAAAGCTTCATGAATCTTTTGCATGTAATTCGTGTTTGTCATCTGTTATCAAGAAGCCTTCACTGATTAGCACAATTATATGTAGCCATTGGTAATGTACATTGTATGTCATTAATTGAATCTAAAACATATCTTGTTCTTTTGTAGCAACCATTCTGTCAAAGATTACAAGAAACTGCAAAGCATATAATGAGTGGGTAAATGAAGAAGGAATTTCTAACAGTTGAAGGCAACAGTCGAACGGAATGTCGTCAACTTCCGTTCTTCAATTAGACAAGTTGGGCATGCCCATACCACGATAGACTAGCGTGTCGTGTCAAGCTAATGGACTATCACATTTTAATGGCTAATTGGAAAAGCCTACAAAACAAGTCGATATCAAAAGTATTCGATTCAATTTGCAATCAAATAGTGTACTATGTTTTACTTAAGCAGTTACTGTTTAGATTTGCTAGATTGACTCAAAAATAATAATTAGACTCGTCAAGTTAGAGTGTAATTAATTTAATAATTCAAAAAACATTTGTTGGATAAAATTACATACTGTATATCTTGGTGTTCTTGTCTCGCAAATTCAAAATTCAAAAAGTCATTAAATAATTATATTTGAATGGTTTAAAGAGTCCGTCTCTTAATATCTTTAATGAAAGAAACTCGATAAGATAGGATATTTCATTTGCTCGAATTAGTTAATCAACGTTATTATTATGCCCGCCCGTCACTAATAGTTTCGCTTCACGAAATCAGTTTGCAGAATACGCGTATACCAGATTTCTTTTTGGCAACTAGAAAGCGCATCACAGCACAGACATTCTTTGTCAATAGTTATATTTGGAACATAATTTCAGTTGCATTAATAATCTTAGCATCACTGCTTTATTCTATGGATTAAAATCAGGAGTATTAAAAGATTGATACTTGAACGGTCTGCCTTTAGAATGTTGTTATAATTAATAATCTATATACCATAATTATAGTCGACGAGCTTTATTATTGTGATCATTATAAATGAGTATAATAATAACTCCATTTCTTTGTTTGATACCATAGTCACGCCTACCAAATATTTGCGCTAATTATAATTGTGTTATTATTATTGCTCTTAAATATTGTTGAGCTCCTTATCATGTGGTACGCCGCCTTTAATATTAAGGGTTGTGTCAATCAAGTTCACGTGACACAATGCATAGAATTGGTTAAAAGAGTCTGAGCATGCATTGTCATGAAAAAAATTTTTCACACCTGCGCTCCGCTCAACGGACGAACCTATACTCTGTAAAAACCGTCTCAATAAAAACCAGTCTCAATACCGAGTTTCTCTTCAAGGGCAACCTCTTAAACAACTAGAAGAAGTAAACCCCTCGCGCAATAATGCATATTGAAGACTTTAATTTTGAAGAATCTGATGTCAGAAGAGCGAATGACGAATTGTCCCTCGAACAGAAGGCAATAGTTGATAACGGAATTAGGAACGAACAGATCCAAAATTTCACGAGCACATCATCCGAAAACCTAAAAACGGTCGAAAACCATCGATATAAGCAAACCAAACAGCACAGCAAGCAGTCCCGGCAACCAGAAAGGGATTGCAAAGATAACAGATTTTGGTTTATCCAGTGTATTGAAACAAAATCTTTGCCAATCAGGAATTGCAAAGATAACAGATTTTGGTTTATCCGTTGTGTTAAAAACATCTTTGCCAATCAGGGATTGCAAAGATAACAGATTTTGGTTTATCCGTTGTTGAAGCCATGTATCTTTGTCAATAAGGAATTGCAAAGATAACAGATTTTGGTTTATTCCGTTGTTATTAAAGCATCTTTGCTAATCAGGGGTTGCAAAGATAACAGATTTTGGTTTATCCGTTGTTGAAACAATCTATCTTTGTCAATCAGGAATTGCAAAGATAACAGATTTTGGTTTATCTAGTGTCTGAAAGAAACTGCGACGGCAACGATCAGTAATTACACCGCAGCGTCGTCGTCCTAACAGGAATCCGCTCCAAGTCTGCCAGTTCATTCGCCAACCGGAAGTTTGTCTCGATCGGCGTCAAAGTTCGGAAAAAAAAGACATTTGGAGACCCGAACAATGTTTCTCAATTCTATTTATGTAATGTAACAATTTTTAGGAGTAGGAGTAGATTTCGATACGTCTCTATGTTCAAATGATTCATGTATTGATGCCAATGTATTGATTCTTCGATTCAATCGAAATAAATTCTTACTAATAATAATAAATATATGAATGACAAGTGAATATAATGAATGATTGGCCTATTGCTATTGATCGGATAGAAAAAGCGAAGATAATACCACGAACGGAGACTTTATTCGTCGTCATTACTATGAATCGATAGTCCCTCCGCAGTATATTTGTCCAATTATAACTTATTATTACGATCACACAATAAATAAGTGTGTGGATGTTATTGGACCTTCCACTAACGTTATCCAAACATGTCCGAAGGTCAATCGTCTAACAACACATATAGAGAGTGGTTAGCTAAGAGTATCCAGGAAGGATTTATCAAACACTATTCG